ACAGGTGCGATAGGAACCTGATTTATATAGGCTCCACTAAACGATCTCTGGGAGTCAGAATACAAGAGCATCTAGCCGATATTCGGCACGGAAGAACTTCCACGGCCCTCGCTACGTATGTAACTGATCCGGATATAGTAGCGAACTTCTCCCAGGCCATTCTCCTCCATGATTCGCCTCCTATCGAACACCTCAAATGGCTAGAGGCTATGCACATATTTATATCCTCCACCAACAACACGTGCATAAATTTTAAAGAGGAGATGCTGTTATCGATGGCCTGGCAGGAGTTAATTCACAACACGCTCTAATTCGCCCATCAAACTATGACGGGTAACCAATCGCGCATGCGCGACTTGGATTACGTGAATCCATTCGAACCTACAACTTAAATTTCAAGCTTTAAACGACATGAACGATCGAATTTCTACTTATAACGGACATTGAACGTCTTTAGAAGCTGATTAGAACCTGAAGCAGAACCCAGAAGGGGTTCGAAAACGTTTGTTTTCCGATCTTTTGCATGATCACACCGTAATTGGTTCAGATGTGTCGATTTTTTTGTAGTAGTTCCGGTGTGATAGATAGTGAATTTAGTTAATCATTAATTTTAAATCATTTTAAAGCATTTAATTAGCCCAATTAATTATGGCAATCATTTGGTTTATTATTAATATATCAAGCTTAGTGGTGTTTATATACAAGTTAAATTTTTGTTAAGTCCAAACACAATCAAGATACAACAGACAAATCCAACAATACCCCATCAATTCCGTATGCCAAGATTTAATGGCATTGATATCTCTAATATACAAGTTACCATGTCAACTTTCATTTCTTAATCTTTATCTCATCTCGAGATATTAAATTAAAAAATGCCCTCGTAAACATACGCAAATTTTTTCCTTTCATTTTTTAGGTTTGGACTCTCAAAATGTTGAGATTTGCAAAAACCTGGAGAGTCAAATTTCATACAATTAGAATATTGAGCATTATCCCTAAAAGTTATTGGATTCTTTCACGAAAGTTTAATTACATTCTCCCTCTTATCTCTCGACCTTCACTTGAAAGTTTAATTGTAAACAATAGAGACACTAGGTCCACTTTCGAAAAACTGACTATTTACAAAATAAAATTTAAAAGCTCCATCACGTGGTATCCTCACTATGTATATTGGCAGTTCACCACAATAGTTAACATATACATATAACATATATATATAACACATAACATTACAATAGGGGAACATCAAAAATCTATAACACTATAAAAAAGACACAGAACTTGCAAAATTTGTTTTTGGTAACAGTTACAAGCCTGATTACAGTAATTCCACCATTATGAAATCACTTTGGGATACTGAAACACTATGTTATTGGAAAACTCTCCAAATACTTGATCCGATCTTATAAAGAATTCCACCATTTTGTTTACAAACTTTTGTAACAATGTGATTAATTTTATATAATCTGTAATTTCTCCTACATATTTTACAAAATGTTGTAGTTGGTATTTTGTTGCAACTAGTCAGCCCAATAGTTCAATCAATGTTAATTCAGTTATAATTAAAATTTTTAAAAGTAAGAAAATTTAAAAACAAAAATTAATGGAATTACTAAAATATAAATTTAAATTTGATTAAATTTTGTGCAAAACAAGACAAAACAATTTCTATAGTTACATCACAAAAGAAAAAAAGAGTTGCAGTTAATTTTAAAAATTCTAATTAATGGTTCAAAAATGCAGGCAAAATTAAATAAATAAAAATTATTAAAAATAATTATAAAAACTAAATTAATACTAAATAAATTAAACCTAAAAATTAGTTAACACTAAAATTTAAATTAATAATAAAATAATAATTAAAACTCTGGCCTTTGTGCTGAAACCAAAACTAAAACTAAAATTTTAAATAAAATCAAAATTAATTAATTAAAATTAAAATCAAATCAATTGTAAATTAAATATTTTTAAAAACCAATTTAAAAGTTGTTTTGAAATTTTCAAATTGTAAATCAAATTAATTTTTAAATTTATGCTATCTGTGTGTGGCAATGACAAAACATTTACATTTAATATATATACAGATTACAGTTATCTGTTGTATTCCCTTCCCAAAGCCTATAGATAGTAAGGATGCACTGATTAATCAGTAAGTAATCGGTAATTGGCCATTTTCCCGATTAATCGGTTTTGATAATCGGCCAATTTTGCATTTTGGTATTTTTGTTAGAATGTTACGTATAATGCTAGTAATAAAAACTAATAAATTTCTGTTATATATTTATTATTTATTACATGACAAACTGAATATTAAAAAAATTTTACAATTCAAATTATTCCTTTTATCGATACATATTATAAGTATAATATAACCTATTCAAAACTCTCTTTTATTTAAAGTTTAAACTTTAAACATATAAAACAAATAAAAATTTAATATTCAAACTGTAAAACCCTTAAATTGTAATGCAAAATTATGATTATTTCCCTGTCCGCGCTATACATCTTCACACAGTATCAGAATTTCCATCTGGTGAACATTAATAAAGGGAATTTTAAGTAAGATTCAGTGGCGTAGCGTAGTGGGGGCGGCAAAATTTCACAATAAATAATAATAATATCTTGTAAAAATTTGAACCATTCTAGTCTATATTTGCGTCGCACCTACGATAGTGCTATCGTCCGGGAATCGACTCATCGTCCAGGTGAACTAGTAATTTCATTCCGGGATATCCTGCGCAACCTGTTGACTTTTTTTTGCATGTACGATTCAATAGTATTCATATACACCTCCAATATCCAATAGAGCTATTTTAAACACGTCACTAGCACGGAATTTTTCATTGCTTATTCTGTGACGAAACTGAATTTTAGTCTTTTAAATTGAGATGCCTAAATAGCGGGACGGCAAAAATTTCCTCCGCCCGGGCGGCTGACACCCACGCTACTCCGCTGGTAAGATTAGTCATAATGTGGGGTTTCTTTCTACGTAATGAAGTAGGTCTGATCGCAGATGGAAGCCACACTAATAGACAAGAGTCAACAACTCACTGTGCGTTTAGAGTTAACACTCCATTACAAATCTCTTAAGTACAGGGTAGAATGTTGATAATGTGAAAAATATATCTGTAATCTCTATTTACAATTCAGTCTCTACGAGGTGACACTACAATGAGATCTCGCACCATCTCAAAATCTTCCTAGGGCAGCCTCTGGTTTGGCCCGTGGAAAAAGTTTTTTGTAATTCGGCCCGGGGACAAAATCTGTTGGCCACCTGAGCTAGACTCTTGTAAAGCTNTTTTTGATAGACGAGTTCAGATGCGCAGTGGCGTACCGTGAGTGTTAGCAGCCCGGGGCGGAGAAAAATTTCGGCCACCCGTTAATTAGGTATTTCAATTTATAAGAAGAAACTATTTATAATCTATAATTTATAAGAGAACTATCTTACACGGGTAGCTACACTACCCGTATAAAAGTAGTTGTATATGACATCAGTGGTGTACATGAACACGAATGCATAGTGTAACAAAAAAAAAAAAAAAAAAGGTCAATAGGTCGATTGCACTGAATTGTGTATGCAATGAAGCCGAATCTGGCAATGTTGCTCGGAAACGACTGAAGCGCCACTTGTAATCGTCCAATGCGCCAAGTGTTGGCCACCCCTGGTATAAAGCATGATATTGCTTCTAAGCTGCAATTCATAAATCCAGCTACCATATTTGCTGCAGAATCTCTCAGTATTAAAAATATCTTATCACTTGTCAACTTATACTGTTCAAGAACAATTTTTATCTGTTTACTGATTTGTGTAGCTGTATGGGAATCTTCAAAGGGAACAATTTGCAAAACAGCTCTTTCCTGCTGAAAATTATCCTTCAACCAGTGGGCTGTTACACTTAAAAAAGAAGAATTGTTTGTAGTTGCTGTCGAAATATCAGCAGTTAAAGAAATATATTTTGTTTCTGTTAAACACAGAAACACTTCAGCTTTTTAAACAATGTCGAAGTTTCCGTGCGTCAACAATTAAGTGTTGAGATTTATTTTAGAAACATTCCCAAACAAAAGAAGAGATTGTTGATTTTGCAAGGATATTCAATTGTCTCTTGTTTATCTGATCTGAGGGAGATGGAAATACCAGGTGGAGAAAAATGGGTATTTTCCATATTATAATTAACTGTATAATTAACTCCAGGAACTCACACTATTAATGCAATAAATTATTAACACTAATTAGCCGATTAATCGGTATTGGCCAATAATTCTTATTGGTGCATCCTTAATAGATAGCTTTGTATATTATTATTTTGTTATCATTAAAATGGTACAACTTATATTGCATTTATCCTCAATGTATTTTTTATTTATGTAATCGATTTCAAGTTTACAATGTTCTTCTGCAAGATTATTTGATCTTTTCAATTTCTCTTGATGACTACAATTTGAATTTTGTTGAAAACATTTGAATTTTATTATTAAAGATTTCATTTACACTACAGTATTTGTTAACACCAAAAGACTAATTTTTTAAAATCATGTATTATCTTCATGGCAAGCACATTTGTTACTGCTATTAAATATCTTTACCTTTCAATTAAATATGTAAGAAGTCGATTCTGACTTGTTTTATATTGTTTGGGGATTATTTTTAGTTCATTTTCTTATTTATGTTTTTGGGGAATTTTATTTCATTAAGGATAGACTACCACACCTTGCCTGGACAAAATTCTAAAACTAAAAACAAAACTCACCTTAATACAACAACTGCCGACAGCAAATCAAATTAATAAAAAATGTTATAAATACACTATATAATAAAAATAACCCATCAAGAAATAATAAAAAGTATCTTATTTATTATTTTTCAGTAAGATAAAGACGATTTCCTGTTTTAATCACAAAAGAATGTGAGGTGTAATAACTATTCTAATTCAAATTAAAATTTTTCAGTAAAATACTAAGTTTTATATTAAATATTAAAATTACATTAAATGTTTTACCTTTAATTACTTCTCTTTCAGTGAAGCAAATAACTTGATTAAGCACTAGAAAATATCACAGAATGTAAATTATTACTTTTGATCTGTATAAAACTCAGAACATTAGTACTAAATGAATTATACATATATATGTGTTACAAATTTAATTTCTATTTTAATAAACTTTAAAAAAATGAATTATGTACATTTATATTAAAGCTTTGTTTTCAACTGTCTATTAACAAAAGGCAAATTTTAATTAAATATCTTCTCTACAAATTTATAAATAACAATTATATTTATTTATAAGTTAAATTGTATTTAATACAGTACAATGGCAGTTCCAAAACTATGACCCTTGGGTCAAATCCAGCCCTCAAACATATTTGACACATTACTTATAAATGATAAAAATAGGCCTATTTTAATATATATGAAATGTATAAAATACAGTGGAACCCCAGTTAACGAACGTCCTGGTTAACGACCAAATCGGTTAACGAACTTTTATTTTGCAAAAATTTTGTCTTGGATAACGAACATAACAGTATTTTGTGTCGAATTTTAGTTGGTGTTAGGCATGCGCGAGTTAAGCATTGCTTTTCCGAGTGTTTGTGCTATACTTCTTTTTTCAGTTTTGTGATTTATATATTTAATCAATATGGCATCCAAGAAAGAAAAAAGTCATAGTGGCAATAGAAAACGACAACGCAATATGAACAACGAGCTATCGCATTTGAGAAAAATTTTGATTAAAAGAGTAAGACAATCAACTTTAGATCAATTTCTTGTTCCTTACGGAAAGAGTTTGTTTGTTTTTTAAGTTATGGCAACGCAACACTTGGGTGATCTGCCTAGGGGGGAATGCCTTCTGGAGGTGTTTTTAAGGGAAACTGGCCCCTATTTAGGCGTTACAGACGTGGCGAAAACCCAGAAAATTCCACATGGCCAGCCCATCTGAGCAAGGTGTGAACCCATGAACGAACTCCCCATGTTCAGGGTACAAAGACTGCTTAGCCACTGGTGGGCTTTCTTACTGAAAGAGACTTCAACTCAAAGAATCTCCCGATGAAGTGCTACCTGTTATTTTTTTGGAGGGGATTCCTCTTCTAAGCATTAAGGTTCGTATATCTCCACTTTTCTGCCACCAACTACAACAAACAAAGGTATGTACAGTGCTATTTTATTAAACAAAATTTACATGTTTGTTGCTGTAATGATAGATACTACGTTTTCCTACATTTTCATCAAAGAAAATCTACTGTGTATTACAAATACAATCACAAAAATTTCAGAGACTAGAACAGATTAATTGCATTTGCATTAATTTCTATGGGAAAAATTGCTTCGGTTAATGAACAATTCAGTTAATGAACAGAGTCGCGGAACGGATTAAGTTCGTTAACCGGGGTTCCACTGTATTTGTGATTTGTCTAACTACAACTATGTGCAATTTGGTCCAACAATCAAAAAGTTTAGGGATCACTATATTAGATTATTATTATTATTAACAATAACACAATTATATTGTAACATCAATGATTTTCTGAATTACATCAAATTATAAATCTATACAGACATAAACTAGGATATCAAACAACTTTGTCGTATCATGATAGAATTGAAACAAAGCTGGAAAGAAAAAAGTGATTCCTGTACTTGTTAAGCACAAAAGAGTGTCTTTGTACCTAATGAATACAGATAGGTGAAATTTGCACTTTTTGGAAAAAAAGAGGCCATCCTTGTACAGTATATGCTGGCCATGGGAGACATAATCCTTGAACTGAATGGGTATAAAGATACAATACTTGCACTTGCCAACATGGAGATGCAATCCAAGAACGAAGAAATCAATGGCAATTGCTTTGTTCTTGTGTTTTGTTTGTTTTTCATGCCTACTTTCTATTAAACACACGCAATACTGTTTTTATTTTTGACCCCCTAGGTCTATTCTGACAGCCAAGCAGCTATTTACATTATTCAGAACAATGATACTCACCCGATTACAAATAATATTAATACTATGCTACAAAATTCAAATGGTGCCTTCTCTCTTAATTGGCTGAGAGGACACCAGAGAAATATTGGCAACAAAAGAGCCGACGAATTAGCAAAGAAAGCAGCCACAACCAAGAAAACACCATAATATATAACAAATTACCATCAGGATTCAATGCTATAAAAAAACTATATTTTAAAAGAATGGCAAATGTTTTGGGAAAACTTCCATAATGAAACAACTTACTCACACTTACCAGACATTAAAAGTATCTACAAGATGAATTGGCTTGAAATCAATCACAATATAACCCAATTTATAATGAACCATGACTACTTTCAAAGCTACTTACACAGGTTCAAAATTACTGATAGTGATAAGTGCTCTATTTATGACAAAACCAATGGAAGCAACCACTACCTGTTCAACTGCCCTATAGTCAAAAAAGAAAGAAAGTACTTACAGAAAATTTTAAGCTACAAACATATAGATTGGCCATGTAATAAAAGTCTTCTCCTGCAAGACAAAGAAATCTACAGGTCCTTCAAAACTCTTATACACTTATATTTCAAATGAACTGTAATGAAAAATTATACTAAACACTGTTGGCTTTCTGGGAAGCTACCTAGCCCTTTATGGTAAGTCCCACATGTTGCAAGTAGTGACAGAGTCCACTCTCACCCATACCATTCATTTACTGTTATGTGCATTCAACATCTCTTTTGAACAATGATGACTATATGTAGTTTGCCACCCAGTTGTACCAAGCAGTACTGGTATGTACATATCACTTGTATCTGATTAATAAAAAAAAGAAAGAAAGAAAAAAAAAAAAACTTAAATTCCATTAGGCATGCTCAGTTGGATCAGAAAGTATGGATATTGTCCCATTAATACCTTTGTATATTGAAAACAAAGTCATGGACTACTATTTTTACTTTGGTGATTTATTTTACTTTCTCTACTCTATTCTATATAACAGAGGGAAAGTATGGTGATCGAGCTGGCCCTCTCAAGATTTTTACACTTTTGGACTCAGGACACCTTGAAATATCAAGAAATGCAAAAAAAAAAATCAGAGGGTTTTTCTGTATGTATGGATATTATTTTGTATGGGAGGCATGATTTTGTTCACTCTCTTTAAAGCTTAATAACTTCTGTGTGTTTTTGTCAAAAATTTCTGAAATTTTGCAGGGAAGTTTGTGTATTGGGGGATCAATGCTATTAAATTTTGATGGTTAAAGGTCAATGGGTTCCGGGAATATAAAGGGTGGGTTGTGTGTCATATCTCAACTAGGGTTGGACTTAATGACAATTTTACTCATTATCAGCATTTACAATTTTTTGTAAAACCCATCCCTATTCTCAAAATTAAGCTTTTTGCCATTTTATAACAATTAAAAATATAAAGTTTTTAAAATGAAATATCATAATATTAGGTTGTTCAGAAAGTAAGTTCGTTTTTTCTACCATTAGAGGGATTAGTCGTATTTTTCCCACCATTTTCATTCTAAACCGTATTATCATTATATATTTTGACAGCTAGCATTTTAAGGCTTATTTGTAAAAAATTTGGTTTCATTTCATGCAATTGTTTATTTTTTGTGTCCCATCACATATGGAAGATCAAAAGCAGCATTTTCGGCATATTTTGCTCTTTTATTACCAAAAAGGTAAGAATGCTGTTCAAGAGAGAAAAAAATTGTGTGACATGTATGGAGAAAATGTATTGACAGAACGACAGTGCCAAAACTGGTTTACAAAATTTCGTTCTGGCAATTTCAATATTGAAGATGTACCACATTATGGATGACCAGATGAAACCAATGAAAACAAAATAAAGGTACTGATTGAAGCAAACTGCCAAATAACAACACGTGAAATCACTAAGAGATTAAATTTGTCAAATTGAACTGTTTATGATTACTTGAAACAAATTGGTTTCATTTCAAAGCTTGATATATAGGTTTCACATGTTCTTAAAGAGAGATGCTCTCTTTGGTGGGATTTTAAGGAAATTTTTTTTTTGAGCTTTTACCAGACAATTTAACAATTGATTCGAAAGTGTACTGCCATCGAGTAAACAAACTGAGTAATATCATTAAAAAGAAAAGACAACCAGAATTGATCAACAAAACAGGTGTAGTGTTTTACCACGATAATGTCAAATTTCACACAAGTTTGGTAACTCGTCAGAAACTGTTCTAACTTAGATGGGACGTGCTATCACACCAACCATATTCACCAGATTGAGCACACTCGGATTACTACTTGTTCCGGTCTATATAAATTTTTTTTAACTGTAAGACATTTACCTGAAATGACAATGTCAAAAATCATTTGGATCAGTTTTTGTAAGCAACAATCAAAACTTTTAAGAATGTGAAATCATGCTACTACCAGAAACGATGACAACAGATATTTGACCAAAATGGTCGATATATAATTCAATAAAATATTTATTTATTATAAAAATATTGCGTTTTTTTCCATGGAAAAAAAACTAACTTACTTTCCGAACAACCCAATAGATAATGCCACCAAAATTTTAAATGTTGCCAGGAAAGTTAAGCAACTCTTTACTGAATTTTTTAATTTGAATGGACCCACATTACATTTCTGGATTCCTCACCTCTGTTGGTGTTTTCTAGAAAACACAAATGCTAACTGCTGGGAATTTCGGAAAAGAAAAACAAAAATGGCAAATGATGATGACTTCCACATTACATTAAATTTATTTTTGAACTGATTTAATGAGAACAGCGTAATGAAAAATTAATATTCCAAAAAGTAAAATAGGGATGAAGATTTCTTAAATTTCCATAGGAGTTAAATAATTAAATCAATCCTAAGATTACACTTTAACAACTAAAATTAAAAAAATTATGTGATGTTTTAGGTTAATATACTAGTATATTAAAATATTCTATTAATGTACTAACCAATTGTTAATTTATTCAGGGTTTATTTTTATTAATCAATAAATAAATTAAATTCAAAATTGTCAATGTAAAATAGAGCTCTTACAAGCCTCGTGGTGGCTGCCATTTTGTTTTCTGGTGTATTGAGTACCAAAAAAGACATTTGCAGTTTGCTGGAAGTTCGCTGACAGCAACTGGAAGTTATCTGAGATTTTTAACAGATGTGCTGAGAGGTGCTGGTTGCATGCTGAGATTTTGAATGCGCCCATTGTTTGACTAGACGTGCAGGGTAATGCTCACACAACAAGAGACAACACCACACTGAGCAGGAAAACGTGTGGTTTTGCAAAATTAGCAGCAAGGACACGTGAGAATGTCAACGAAATCTCAGGCAATCAATGAAAACAAAGACAAATTTTTCACAAAAAAAATTCATGAAAATCGAAACCAACAATAACTGAAGTCAATGAAAACCAAGTTATTACTGTAATTTTAAAAATTAAATATGACAATATATTTAAATCAGAACTGTTATGTTAAAAACTATTTATATTAAAATAAAATAATTTTTTAAAATTAAAAATTTTCAATTTACACCAATTAATTGCATTGTAATCTCTTTGGTTATGCACACAATTTCCAGCAGATACCATTAAAATTTTAATGCTTTTTCTATGGAAAAATCCTTTTTCAAAAATTCTTTAAATGGAAGCAGATATAACCAATTTTTTGCTATAGAATCCTGTTTAATTTTTCCATTAATATATGATTCATAATTTTAAAAATTAAATTCATTAATTTTCTACAAATTTTTGAAGTCAGAAAATCTGCAGAAAATAATGAATTTGATTTTCAAAATTCTTAATCATACCTTAATGGAAAAATTAAACAGGATCCAACACTAACAATTTGGTTATTTAGTTCTGTTTCTGTTTTGGAAATTTTTGGAAAAGGATTTTCCCATAGAAAAAGCATTACATTTTTAACACCATCTGCTGGAGTGCATAACCAGTCAGTCTTAATAATCATGGTTACATATGGATATATTTCTTAAGAATTAAACACCGTTTTGCTAATGAAGTATGAAATCAATTAAATCTACCAGAATTTAATTCAAATATTTATAACTCCACAAAAACTCATTGAGAAAATGTAAGATATTTCTGTTTGTAATATTTAAGGAATTTGTATCTTATAATGGAAAGGAATAAAAAAAGATGCAGATTAGTATTAGTATTAAAATTAGTATTTTTATCAGAATACTTTTCAAAATGTTTCATTTCAATAATGTGTATAACAATTTTTATAACATTGAATAAATAATTTCACATAAATAATAAGATAACTCCAATTTTTGTAATATAAAAATTCTTCTGATTCTGATTTATTTTTATTTAGAACAAAACATATTTTATAACAAACAAATTATATAATAAATAATTTACTTTCATACCTTCATTCATGACATTTTCTGAAACTTCATTATAATCAATTCTCTCTAGAAAATTAAATTTTCATTAACATATATTAGAATTTGGTATTAAAAATATACAAAATTGAAAAGAATTTAAATTAAAGAATGTAAACATTTTCAGCTTAAACTTATAGACTAGAGAACTGAGACTAAATGTCAGTAATATTCAATTTAATACTTCATAATCATACTGTAATTACACTAAAGTTATAAAAAAGTAGTTGATGTATTAATTAATTCTGCAATTTTCAACAGCATTTAGAATATGTCAAAAATGTTTTTAATAATTAAATTTACACAATAAGTTATATATTACTTTTCTATATTCATATTCTTATTAATTCTTCCAATGAATAATAATTATTAAAGAATTTAAAATTTGTCAATTGAATTAGTTCTAAACTTTACAATATAGATTTACATAATTTATTATAAAATGTAATGAATAACTCATTAAATTTAATTATATTATTACAGCTTTATAAATGAAGCAAAGGCATAATTAATTTATGAAGTAAACATGTTTAATGTTTGTGATTTTTTTAACTATACCTACGGTAGAACCCCTCTAGTCCGCCCTCGGCTAGTCCGTCGCTCCGGTTAATCCGACCGTGGTCAAAGTTGAGAAACTTGTCCCGACTCGTCAGTAATTCACCGCCCGTCGTGTTGTTCTGTGTTTGTTACAGTATACGTTTTACATTGTGTGTACGTATACAGTTTTGTGTGTTTTTCAACATGTCAGGAGTGAAACGTAAACACATTACTCTTTCATTAAATGAAAAATTAGCAGTGCCACAAAGACTGGACAAAGGGGAAGATTGTTTATTTTACTTTTTTCTGATAATCTGACCTTTTTTGCATTCCAACCATACCCCCAGTCCCAAAGATGACAGATTAGAGGGGTTCTACTGTATATTTAACACTAGCAGACCCCGCCACGCATTGTTGTGGCTCAAAATGTATCTATTATAAATGTAAAACACTTCCCCCATGGGGAGGAATTTTTCAAAAAATCCCTTCTTATTGTGCATTCTGTTGACGTACCCCATTAAAACGCAATCAAAAACGTAAAAACCTGCATCTAAAATAGTATAAATAGAAGCAGAGTTCTTCATGGTAATCCTTAATCCTGTCCATCCCCCCCCAGTGAGAGGAATTTCAACACATATATTATAAAAAATACGCGCGTATTCAAATGCAACGTTGTGTCAAAATTTTAAAGGAATCGGTAGGAACAAACGAACATTACATTTTTATTTATATAAATAGATAAAAGATGATCTGCTTTAGTTCATCCTCACAGAAAAGCATAATGCCTCACAGGAAAACAAACTTAGGGTGTCATACTCGTAACGCCATCTGTTGGACATAAAAGTCTTAACCTAGATTATATCTTTTAATTTATACGAATGTTTAACGGAATAATATACAGCCTATGTCCACCCTGAAGTTCCATTCTAAATATTGGTGAAAGAATTTTTGAAATCGGATGAGTAGTTTCGGAGATTACCTCCTACATCCAAACTTACAAACTTTACCTCTTTATAATATTAGTATAGATTAATGTAGATGGAACAAGCTAACAACAGGACGTTATGATGTGGTTCTTGTAGATTTCAATAATACTGTTTGTGTTATTAAGTCTTAGTATGAACCTTTATTGAGCAAAAGGAGAAAGCATGCTTCTCAAACGTTTTTAAGAAAATCAACATTAAAAAAATCCCAAGCAACTTATGAGTAAGTTTTGCAGAACCTTTCATCCAAGACCACATAGCTTAGTGGCAGGCCTTATCCATATTTGAGATATTGCTAGCTTGTATCTTGGTGAATAAACTTTTTTAAAATTACTGCAATTTTTACCTAAATAATTGTAAATTACATAGATTTATACATTTATCTATTTATTTTCTATTAAAACTATGCATTAAAATTTTTCAAAAGTCAGCAATTTATTTTGAATGTATTCAAATTAAGTTAAATCTTTATACTAAAAAATGCAGATCAATGTAAATGAAGTTAATATTGTAACAAAAATATTTGTTTAAATATCAAATATAAAAATACAGTAAAATCTTGACAACTGGCTGTCTATAAAATCATAAAATATTAATCAGTCTACAGGAGTGAAAATATTCTTCCTATCATATGCTATTGAAAATGTAATACTTAAATTGTTTTACTTGTAAATGCATTATTTTATGCATTCAATTATCTATTAAAATTATATTCACATTATATAATAAAAAAAATGAAACTTTTAATTCTTAAAATTTTGAATTACAAAGCAACTCTGTGTTTTCTTTTATTTACAATTGATTGTGTTCATGCTATTTGGGCATCAATTTTCAAACTGCAGACCTATAAATTCCCACTGGCATCCATCTGTTGGTCTGTCCTTCCTTAATCTCAAGAACAGAGTTAGATAAATAAAGATTGAGATCAGATATGAAAAGCTTAGGAGTAGGAGACCTCAATTAAGTATACATAAAATTCCAGTTTGGATTGGAAGTGATATTATTTCAATTAGAAAATTTTGTGTAGAACAGAGTTGGATAGATGACCAGCATGACTCTATTGTAAAAGGAATATTATGATGTACAGGGGCAAGACACTACCAAAATTAAGAGCATTGTGATAAAAAATTGAAGCAGGCATTGTGATGATATCACAATATATAATTTCTCACTTCTTGATTGATTATTACTTAATATAGTCTGGGAATTCCTTTCCCATTTGCAAAAAAAGGACTAAAATTTTCCCACCTACGTGGAAGTAAAACTAGAGGTATGGAGAGTTAATGTAAACTCTCTCTCCGCAAGTTAGGAGCGAGCGAACTAAATTAATTTCTCCAGATGTTAGATTTTTTAACCGTTAATTTCTTCATTAATCTAATAAATTGTTGTTTCCATTGTTAAATAATGTCATTTACTCGCATATCGCCTATGCCTCGTTGACGACCCCTCTCACCTCCTCCACTCGACCTGACAAAAAGCATCCCGACCCTTCGGGACCGCATTCAAAATTTAGCCATCTTGACAAGTGAGCAGGTTTAGCCTGTAGCCGAAAAGGGAGAGTCGACAGTTCCCAACCTCCCCGGCGGTTCACAATATAGTCAACCACAAATGCATTCAACAATGTACCAAGTGGTATGAATTGTGGGAGAAAATGTGACAATTTTGTGTAACAATTAGTTGATGCTCAAACTCCGATATATGCAATGGAAATTGCAAAAGCGACAGCAAACATTAAAAATCACTGATGATTCTAGTCACATTTATTTTGCTGCTTGTGGGTGTCATCCTCTAAACTTCATTATTGATTTCATTTATAGTCATCTGAAAAACACAAGAACTGCAAAACATTTGAGGCACATTAGACAATGAACAGCAGAGTGAATGCCCTCCCACAATAAAGCATTGGAATCCACTAGCTAAATGAGAGGTTGTAAATGTACCAGTCTTCTACTCTGGAAATCTATGTTTGAGTCTAAGTCAGAAAGTTTCATAGGTAAGTTGATCCTAATACGCCTAGTTCCATCCCTCACTATACAGCCATTAAGACTGAAGATTTGGCCAAACCATGATGAGAATAACTAAAAGATATCTTAGTACATGAAGGAGAATAAAATTACAAAAAAAAAAAAAAAAATACAATTGTCTCGTTTTGTAAAAAAGAATACTATTCCTCTTTTTGAAAATTAAACAGAAAATCTTGTTTGAATCTAACTTTGACTTGTTAACTGAAATTATGGTTCAATCTAACAACAAATTAATGAGAATTAAATTATTAGTGTATATGAAAAATTTATGAGACTGGAAAAATGGGGCAGCTTAAGTTTGACTGTATATTTAAATAAGTTACACAAATATATAAATTATATATTTGATTCGTTTTTTGAAACCATGTTTTTGTATTTATTTACTATTGAACACAAGACTGTGTTATTATTAAAACACTTGGCGTTTATCCACTTTATTCAGTTGATACGGGCACTTTTACACGTTTCGGGCGTATAGCCCCTCATCAGTCAACTGATAAGAAGAAACATTTACATTAGATTATCACATTTTGTAAAAATTATATAACGATTCTAAAACAT